GATGGTCCCCCTTCCGGCCATGGTCCTCGGCTTCCCATCGGTGTCCTTGGACCTCGTTCCACTCTGCCGTGTTTTTTTTTTAAATTTTTACTGTGCCGTAAATTGACACGCCGCCGCATCGATCTAATCCCTCTAAAATGTGGTACTTAGTGAATACGCGAATTTTTTTTTTTAGTTCAATTTTTAAAGTCGTTTTATTATGTTCGAAGATGTACCGAAATCCTGTGGCTGTTTAAAAAAAAAAAAAAGAAAATCCTGCGGCTGTGGTATGTGGAGGTAGTGTGCTTCTAGTGGGGTGGAGCCATTGGGCCTACTGTCTTCCCCCGAATACAACGTACGGTCATTATAGCTGAATTTAGACCGAAAGATGCACCAAATTCGGCAATAATGACCGTGCGTTGTATTCGGGGGAAGACTGTAGCTACGTTACTCCATGATTATGAGAATTTATGACGTCTGAGTTGATATTTTGACCATTTCGAAAAAAAACAAATAAGGAAAAAGAAAGCAATAGGACCATTTGTCGATTAAATGCTGTCCTCCTTCCTTGAATGTGCTGTTCGCCCTGGTCGTGAATCTTGTCTCGTTTTTTTTTTTTTTTTTGATAAATAGTTTGGATCATTTCTCGAGTTATGCGTGTCATAAACTTATTGCGCAGGTGCTATTTGGTAGTTACCCTTATCTGTATCGTTGCAATTTTTACGTATGTCCCGAAGGACAGCATGTGATCTCGTCTTTATATTGTTCCAGCTTCCTTTTTTTTTTTTTTTTTTTTTTTTTTTTTTTCAAAGTAAAATTTGGAATATCGTTCCAATTTCGACGGAAGCCCTTGAATGTGTACGAGATTCGTATTATTTATGTTTTATTGTAGGGCCCGCTGCTCAACTTGGACACGTATCTGGCTGTCGATCAACCAGATACATTCGGACTGGTTGAACATTTTTTTTTAATGTATGTGGTCACTTCACAATCCAGATACGTGTTGAATGTTAAGTAGTGGAGCGAGGCCCATAATGTATTAGTATAATGCACCGTTGAGAAGATTGTGATATGGCACTTAAACTGTTTTCATTTTTTATTTTTTATTATGTTTTTTATAGCGATTTATTATGTAATATAATGTAATTCTTTCTCAAATATATAATACTCGATAATAAGATAAGATACTGTCTATGATTACTTGATATGAACGAATTTATTATAGTATACTGAAGTAATTAGCTACTGTTCTGGGCTACCAGCTGGGCTGCCCGGGTCACCTTATTTCCCCGGTCGGGCCGGCCGTGCAAGGACCAGGGAAGGTCCCAGCCAAAAAAAAAAAAAGATCCAAAACATCCCCATAAAAACTATGTTATTCAGAAAAATAAACTGAACAACTTTTGCCTCAAAAAAAAAAAAAAAATCTAAAACATCCGGAAAAAAACTATGTTATGCAGAAAAATAAACTGAAAAACTTTTGCCTCGGGGTCACGTCGCAATTCTTTACCAAATTTAAAATAGAATTTTAAATAAAAATAATTTTAATATTTTTATTTTTTAATCTTTTTTTGGCCCGGCCGGGCAAGTGGAGCCGCCGGACCACTCTGGTAGCCTAGCTACTGTTTGAAAAAAAAAAAGAAGCTACTGTTAAAAAATAAACGGTCGGTTGAAAGAAAAAACTTTCAGGTGGGGAACAGCTTGCGGCTAGCAATTGATCTCGGATTCGTCATCTGTATCTGGGCTGAAAATCGCTCCGAATGCAGATTTAATTACCGCTCTCCGCGGTCAGATACAGCCGTGATGAGCGTGGTTTCGTTTGTTTTTTGTTTTCCTTTTTGTTGTTGCCCACATAAACGGGTAGACAAATAAAGAATAACTTTAAAAAAAAAGGAGACTGGAGCTTTATGAGAGGCGAGGGTGGATAGGAGAAGGTCGTAGTAATCGCCTGTCCTTCCATGAGAGGGAGAGATCCCAATGTATGTGGAACTGGTAGGCTGGTCAGGTGCATTTTCCAGATATTATGTGTTCTCAAAGTAGACATTTTTTTAATTGAAAAAAAAAATCGTGAAAATATCGCGATTAATGCCAGAAAGCTGGGTATCATCCCTGGTCGTCCCCCTTTTTTTTTGTATTTTATTGTGTTTTTGGAAAAAGAAAGAACTGAATGAATAGCAGTTGATAAGGCCAATGTTTACTTTGTAGGGAATGTAATTTTTATTATTTAACCAAAAATCTGTAACACTCTTTTTTTTGGGGCGGGTGGGGAATGTTTTTTTTGGGGGGGGGGTTGGGATGAGTGGGGGGGGCTCATTATGATGCGGATTGCTACGTCGACACCGGTTTGCGCATGTATTTACGATAGTCGACAACAATTATTGCTAATTTATTTATTACTTTATTAACTCGGAAACTCGCTGCGAGAGTGCAGGTCTCTCTTTCCACTAAAAACAAGAGCGATGATCGCTCGTCACAATCGTGGGCAATCAAAATCATCGTAATGATCATCATTAAAAAAAAAAAGAAAAAAAGTCATGATAATCATCCTCATGATCGTTATTGTCATCATTATTATCAGTAATGCCAGCACAATCAATTTATCAGTGATGTCTCTCATCTGACCCATATAATCCTTTTATGAATCACGCGATCATCCTCATCCTCATCATCATCATGTTATCAATTCCGTCATGATGATGATGATGGTGATGATGGTGATGATGGTGATGATGGTGATGATGATCATCAGCATGGCCATAGAAGTCAGATGAAAAAGACTCGTTCACACGTCAGACAACGTGTGTGTGTGTGTGTGTGTGTGTGCGTGTGTGTGTGTGTGTGTGTGTGTG